AGAGAGAGAGAGAGAGAGAGAGAGAGAGAGAGAGAGAGAGAGAGAGAGAGACTCACAGACAGAGAGACAGACAGACAGACAGACAGACAGACAGGCAGACAGACAGACAGACAGACAGACAGAGACAGAGACAGAGATGGACTGAAACAGAGAGACAAAGAACTAACATCACCAAACACAACGATCACCACCAACCACCTGTATTCCGCACCTACCTCAGAGCGTGCGCCTGTGGAGCCGTGATACCGGGCTGCTGCAGAAAGTGATCTGGGTGAGCCCGACCACCTCTATAATGTCAGTGAGTTACAGCCACGGCTACATCGCTTGTTGCTACGACGGCACTGTCTGTCTGTACAGAGGCGGGAAACTCGTGCAGACGTTCAAGGAGCATCGGAAACGGTAGGTCTTTCCTTCGGACCTTTTAGTTGTACGCCCCCATCGACACAGCCTAGATCATTCAGGAGGCAGGCGCCTTATACGGGGTGCCCACTACACATGGGATCGGCCCATCGGTCGCCTAAAAACAAACGTGTTTGTTTTCGGTTTCAGGCGATGAGTCGGGTGATCGGCCCGATCCAGCTGTAGTGGGCATCCCGTATTAGACATAGCTATAGCCACAGGCCATGCCTGTCAGGGCTAACCTGAGCTGAGAGAAATACAACATCTCAAAAAGCCATATTTAAAACAATTGATCAAGCAGTCAAACTAAAATTACACTGGGTGAACATTGAGGGACGTGGAAAACTATTTTTTTAAAACTGAATTAAAAAGGACAAAAGTTTAAATTTTGATAAATCAAGGCATATCAATTTTCGCTCTCATGCCAGTTGGTCTGAGTTTGGATACTTGGCGTCTTTTCTTAGCAATAAGTTTGTTTATACACCGTATGTGGAACACGGTTCTAGTTCTGTGTTATGGAGATTCCCAGGCTGAACTACCCAAAATTTCCTCACGGAACACATTTAATTGCTCGCCAGGCGTGATACAGCCCGCGGGCCTTGTACGTGTTTTGGATATTTTGTCCTCTCATCCTCACAATATCGGTCATTTGAGCATGATCCGGGACAACCTGAGCTGGGAGGAATGCAACATTTCAAGAGCCATATGAAGATACTTGATTAACGACCCTCCCCCCCCAACCCCCCCCTAAAAAAACCCCCCAAAAAACCCCAAAAAACAAAACAAACAACAACAACAAAACAAACAAACAAACAAACCCATCCCACATGGGAATCGAACTCATGTCGTCTTCTGTGTGCGATGGCAAAGCACCTAACCCCTCTGTCATCGCTAAAACTGGGGACTTGTTCGTGTACTTGAGATAGCTTTGCTTATCTAGTATTTGCTGGGGTAATATTGTGTAAAGCGCATAGACCTTGCTTTAGAGCGGGGTTACGCGCTTTACAAATGCTATTTATTATTTATCATTATTATTATGATATTATTTTTTTAAAATATGTATTTTATTGTTTTATATTGGTTATTTTTCATTTTCATGCTATTGTTTTGT